TGATATAGTTGTTGGTGTATTTTAAAAAAAAAAAAATACTTAGATTTTAAAATGCTCTGATTAGTTAACTTTCATTATCAGCCAAGTTATGAATTTTATCTATAATAGTATATATACATTCTAGTATTTATTTATCTATATTTAGTTTAATTCTTTTTATTAATATATTATTCAAAAATATAAATCGCTCGTGGCTTATATATTAAAGGGAACATATGAAAAGATGAATCGAGATTAAATTAATTCAAAGCCAAAAAGACTCATATAAGATAAAAATACTTTAAAGCCCTATATACATACCACTACTGATAATATGATCTAAGAGAAATGCATGTGATATTGCAATGGGCTAATCTAATAAAGTAAGATAATTAGATTCTGGTTGATAGAAACAAAAAATAAGAAAGCAATAAAACTAAAATAGGTAAATCTTGAGCAGGGCTGCATTTAACAATAAGAAAAAAAACCAAATCTATTCTCAAGATAGACAAGATTCTGAACAAGGCTTTGTAATACTCGTAAAAAAAGTTTTAGAAGCCAATTCGAAGTTAATTCAAAGCTGATTCGAAGCTAATTTGAATCTAATTTAAATATAAAAGAAAAAAAAAGAAGAAAATTAAAGACCTGATAGCTTATAAAATCAGATCAAGAAAATAGATTAGATTGATAGAAGTGTTTTATTCATAGTTTTAAAAACTATAAAAGCAGCAAAATAACTTATCTTTAATATTGATTCAATAAAGTTCTTTAATGCTCGAGTTCTCTAAAATCTTATTATTAAATCTCTATACGATATTGCATTTTGTTTGGTTAATTTTATATCATCCAAGTCATGCATCTTAAGTACCTTCTTTTCAATATAAGATCACTAGCAACAGATTTATTGTTAATACTAACTTTAAAATCAAATACTGGTAATGTAGTGATTATTATACTTTTATTTAACTCTTAATTAAATTCATTCAACATTTTAATTATAGTAGATATTATACAACGTAAAAGAGGAAAGCCACCACATTCGCTTACTGAATACTTTTATATTCTACCCAATGAGTAGGCAAATAAAAGTAATCGAAAATGTATCTGTCGTGCCTGCATGGATGCAGTAGGAAAAGAAATCACTTTACAAGATGATAGTATAAAACTTACAAACACCAAACATTATTGTTATAATCATCTTAAGGATTGCTCTTATTTTGTAGCAAAGTATCTATCTGAACAAATAAAAAATATACTCAGCTCAGTTGTGCCTTCAACATCAAAAAACCAAGCAATAATGTCTTTTATAGATGATGATGATGATGACAATGAAAATGATTCATTAACCTGCTCCTCTACTTCATTATTAGTTTTAAAAAAACAGGCAACATTACCTTAATATATTGGCTATCTACTTAACACATCTGAAGTTCTCAAATTTGAATGTCTTTTACTTTGGGCTACAATCTCAGCTAGATTCATATTTTGCTGGGTTGAAACCCCTGAATTTAAAGCATTATTTAGTTTTATTTCTCTATATCTAAAATTATCTGACCGAAAAACGCTTAGTAATTATATTTTAATGAGTACAACAAATGAAGTTCAAATAACAATTAAAGAGCTTGTCTGCCAGGATAAAGTTAGAATCACAATTGCCTTTAATAGCTGGCATAATATTGTAAATTATGAATTAATGGGCATAGTTTTTATCACATCTTCAGGAGAAACTTTAATCTGGAGGGCAGATGATATTAGTATTGAGAGACAACAGCAGGAAGAAGTAATTGCTCAAATTCGTATACTTTTTAAAGAGACAAAAGAATTAAATATTAGAGAAAATTGTATTGTAACGGATTCAGCTAGATCATATACTGCGGCTCGTCATTTTTTGAGACGTGAAATGCGAGACAAGATGTTTATTCCTTGTTTTGCACATCAAGTAAATTGTTGTATTGGGGATATATTCAAAGAATCTGTAGAATTTAAAAATGCAAGCAAACGTGTACTTTGCATTATTAATTTTTTTTCACTATTCAGTATATTTTACTGCTAAACTTTGTGATAAACAAATGAATGTTTTAAAAAAATATGTTAATTTGATTACACCAAGTATAACAAGATAGAATAGTTATTTTGAATGCTTCGATAGCATTCTTAAAAACAAGTATCCATTAAAAGTAAGTTGTTTATTACAATTTCAAACTAAAAATTTTAAAATAGTAATATATTCTTTCTTTTAGACTCTTGTAACCAAAGACGATATGATCTCAGATGATGAATTAAAGCTTCTGGCCGATGTTAAAGCTGCCATTAATCGTGATTCTTTTTGGAACTCTCTTGTAACATTACATGATATGCTTCATCTTTTTTGTAGAGTGCTTGATATTATGCAACGCGATAAAGCTCGTCTTCATAATGTTTTACATATCTTTAGTTATTTTATACAAATATTCAAAGAGCTTGAAGTATCATCATTTCAAAAAAAGATGATTACAAGACTTGAAAAGAGGTGGGCTATGTAGAAGCAACCATTACTTCTTTTTTTATTTGTTCTTCATTTTTGTATCAACTTAATTATTTTAATCAATCACAATTATATATTAATTATACTCACATAGGAGCGTAGTTATCATATTATTACAATGCTTGGTTTGAAGATGATCCAAAGCACTTACTTCATGAACTCGAACTTTACAAACAGCAAAAGTATCCTTTTATTAAAAAAACCTTTAGATACTTTAAAGGAGACATCCACCTTTGGTGGTCACATAATTCTGACGCAGCACCTGAATTGAGTCGTATTGTATATCAATTATTTGGCATATATATTATGACTATCTCTGTCGAATGACTTTTTTCTACTATGGGCTTTTTGCATTCTCTATTATAGAATAAACTAAAAGTAGGTTCTATTTGGAATATAAAATTTTATGATTTTAACTTTGTTTAATTATAGGACGAGAAAATGGTTGCAATGAGTCAACTTCATGCCGAAATTTTACAAGTTCATAAAAAAAATCAAATCCAAATATATTCAATCAAACCATACTTCCTCTACTTCCTCCTCCTCTACTTCTACTTTCTCTACTTCCACCTCCTCTACTTTCACTTTTTCTATTTCATCTTCCTCTACTACTATTTCTGTTTCTCCATCATTATCCGGTCAAAACCAAGCACCTAAGAGAACCAATGCATATGAGGATATTATTTCAGAAGGTGATTGGGATGTTGTACTTAATGAATAGGAAGAATTACTAATTGATGAAGAGCTGAAAGAAGAATGGAATGACCTTGATGATACTAAAATAGATATAGATTTTCTTGATTCAGAAATTCACACCGCTAAAAATCAAGCTACTAAATAGGAATTGTATAAATTGTTTTTACCTAATTTACCTTTTCTATTTAATATCCCCAAATCGTGAGATCACAATATTCAATATAATTTACCTTAAAAAAATTTATCTATATAACTTTAATTTCATATTTATAACCCAGTAATATATTTTAAAAAAAAATCTAAACAGACTTAGAGCTGTTATATATAAATCGATAGAGTTATTTAGAACATTTTTATATACCCTTGTTAAATAAAATTCTTGTTCTTATGACAAATCAAACTAATTAATAAATAAGTATTCTACTTTTTTTTTTATAACAACAGAAAAATTTGCATATCATGCACAGAATTGTAAAGCTACAGAGTATGTTATAAAAGAGTAAATCACCACTCTGAGATTATTGCAGTTCTCGACGTAGTACAAATTCTGAAAATTCCAAGAATCCTAAAAATTTACAAAATTCTTAGTATTAGTATAATCATCAGAATTCTTGAAATAGTTATTATATATTATGATAATCACTATAATCATTTGTATTCCTAGTATAGTAGAATAGTTGTTATCATTAGCATTGCTAGAATTATTGGTATTATGTTATGTATGTAAAGAAAAAATATATATCGGAAGACTTTTTCTTGAAATAAAGATAACTCAGTGGAGTTCTAAAACTCAGTTTGGAGTTCGATTTAAAAACCATATAACTTTTGGAGTTCAAAGCTTCGAACTATATAGTAATAGTCATAATCTCTAATAAGTTCTCCTTTACTGTTAAAATTGTTTGTTGTTCTATTTTCGTAATATACCCATTTGCTCTTGCCTGAAATTTCATACTTCATATTTTTCATATTGAGTAATCAAAAAGATAAAGTATAGATTAGTAATCAAACCCTTATATAATAAACGTTACTGATTAAATCAGTGATCGATATAATATGTAATTCGATTATATCGATATCATTGACTCTCTACCAATCATTGCATGAATACAATAATTTGGCTCAACCAGGAAAATGATTGGTACACATACTGCGATGTAGCATATATTCATTTGCCTTGGTTTGCAAATTACGATTATTCGAGTATACATCTCTGGTCTAAGTCACATGTATTTGTTTAGCTAATCATATGTAATTGTCCAATATTTATTGCTTTTGATTAGACAATTCAGATACCTTATTTTGGACAGATTTCTATTGTCCAAATTCAATTTATACCAACTCTGACCAAAAGGGTTATTTTAGTAAAAAAATGTTTTCTATGTACTAATATTAAAATTTTCAGTTTTTCTATATAAAACTTTTTTTTTTGTTTAAATAATCTGTTCTGACCTCTTAAGCAAATTTGTTCAGCAC